GAAATAATAAGATTTCCTGCCATTCGGACTCTCTCTATCTTCCTGTCTCTCTCTGTTAACTGTATCTTATGTCTCTTATTGCTGAAACTTTCCGCTGCTCGAACGTTTCCTATCTGCCGAGATAGTAGCAAGAAGTAGCGAGAGGGGTGGCAAAGTTTCGGATTATAACTGACTCGCGAAGTAAAAGTTAGCCCGCGCGCTAAAGCAACGTCGGAAACGGTAAGATAATCAGTTTAGAGAACTATGGATGCCTCGTACGGGAGGAAAGGAAACGATCGTTAAAGCATACGCACCGGTTTTTCAACGCAACGGCAACTTACGTTGCCCGTGGATGGCGCGGTGTGTAGGCAATTCCTCGAAAGTTAGCCGGTAATTCTATCTTGCGACGCGGCATAAATCCATGCTAGTTTCCGCAGCGAGTTAGCCAAGTTTCCAATTTGTATAACGTTTCTGCGTAGCAGCGCAACAAGTTTTAATCGCCATCTAACACGTCCTCCTCGCGGAAACTGCGAGCTTCGGTAACATCGAAATTCCGCAGCAGCGGAGCGCGGAGACGCGTGCAATGGCGAAGCGTTGCCACTCCACGGAGGCTAGCTGCATATGAATTTCTAAAAGCGATATATCCCATTCCTTCGGAGAATCAAGCACGACCGAAGAGAAACGCTTTCATATTCCGAGGGATCTCTGACGCGAAACTTTTTCGATTTATCATCGAGTGCCTGTGCCGTAACGCTGGCACTGCGGCAGAAAGGGAGCGGAAACGCTGTAACTTCGGCAAACAAATAGATTCCTCCTTCGAGTGGAAGGATTAAAAGTTCAAAGAATAAACTTGTCCCTCCGTTCGATCGCGGCTGCCAAGCTTCCGCCGGAAATGGCGGCTACGCGGCTGTCCCGCGTATTATTCCGCAGTCGCGGCAGATACACGCTGTTCGCGCGAAAAGTTCGCCAATCTGACACCAACGCGACGCCTTGGAAAGCGGACGAAGCCGAAAGTGTCACAATTATCGGACTCCTGAAGGCAACGTCACATTTCCACCAGTCACGGCCCGAAAATACGCCGTTCTGTCGGGTCGGCTGTTAATCAAGCTGATCATAAATACACGCGAATCGGTAATTATGCGTTCGTACGTTATAATAATTTCCATTTGGCAAATATTTGCCTGACACATTTCCTGTTTTCATACGGTTTTAATTAGGTTCGCGCGCCTCGAAATATTAATGGCCGCGTTGTTATATGTAGCGCACGTTACACGGCGCACATTTAATTAATTTTCCTCCATTTCGCGGCGAATTTAGACCATCGGGTTATTAGCCGTTTCTTTGATAAGAATCGTTTCAGCTATCGGTGAACGGGGCACGATTAATGCATTACACGAGTAGGAAATTTCCATGGAATTCGCATCGATAAATTTGCGGCGGGAGTAATACCGTTTATCGATGCAATCGTCATTACGAATACTCGGCCTAGCAGCGAGTTGCACTCGCCACGCGATCGTTTCGAGCTTTTACATGCCTCACGCGACGCCGTTTCAAAGCCGACGAGGAGCGCCGCGCGCAATGGCGGCCGCCGAGCCGGATGTGGCGAACGCGGGAAGACAAATCCCGCTGATCCCGTTAATTCGCGAAAGTGGCTTCCGTCTATCTTTCAAAGGGTTCGCCCTTTTTCCGAACAATTATGCGGCCGCTCGAGGGACGTCCACTCGAGCCGATCCAGCGTTATCCGCGCTTTCGCAGCCGTAGATTCGCGGAAGATTCGTCCCCCGTGTCGATCCTACAGGGATTCGCACTCGGTCCGGTTGAACGGATTAACGGGAACTTCTCCCTTTTTCGGACCGACCTACCACCGGCTATCCCGAAGATCGCGTGGCAAGATTTATTTCACGGAAAGCACCGAGTCGACCGATAGATATCGAACTTCGACCTCTCGGGCCGGAGCTCCGCGAACCGGAGACCGTGCACGGTCCGACGTCGGGTTAAAGCGTCCCGAGCTTGTTCCATTAATTGCGTCCCGGAGCGTCGCCAATTAACGGAACGAAGCGGGAGCGGGACACCACGTGCACGCCGCCTGGCCGCGAGAAAATGAATTGGCGGCAAATTAAATGATACAAAAGGGAAAAGAAGGCAGGCACAGCCGAGCTAGGCCGTTGCGCAAAGCGGTATCCCGTGGGAAATTATAAATAGAAGGTAATACTCGGACCGGCGCGTGGCCTGACATTGCGGTAGCTAATATAAATAGTTAAACCGGTCTGGCAATTTATACATTCGAATTATCATGCACCCTGCAGGCTCCTCCGTGCCACGTGTCCGCCGTTGCTTCGCATAATCGGCGTAATCGAACCAGCGAACAGGGGGCCATCGAGAGGTTACCGGGAGCAGGCCTACCGTTTAACCGCGTGGAACGCAATCGCGCGGCAATGGTAAACTCGCTGGCTTAAAAGCTACGGGATTATACCGACAGCGACGAAAACGCTCGCGGCGAGATAGGACGCGGAGTGCACCGCGAACGAAACAATTACTGGCGAGGTTGGGAAAGGTGAGAACTATGCGCGGAGGGTAAGAGGGTATCGCTGCCGGGAAAAGACGACAGTCCCGAAGGAAAAAGGAGGAAAGTCGTAAACAACGCGGTGAAATCTTGCGGCCCACCGAAGGGGGATAATACCGGGACTTTCTTCCTCGAGACGCAGAAATGGAGGACGAAACGTGCTCTTAAACCGAGCCACCGAACCGGCAGCGAGCGCGAGAAGGAGAGAATGGAGAAACGAGGACAAGGAGGTACAAAGAGGCAAGTGGAAAGAGAGAACGAGGTGTCCTGAGCGGGCAAAGATCAGATTTACGCGGGCAACGTGAAAAGGTATACATCTTCGGGCAGGCTTTTGCCGGAAGAAGTCAGCCACGGAAACATTTCGCCCGATGAATTTCTCGAGATCCCCCTGGGAACCATACGATGACGGCGCCGCGTTTCAAGTCCCGGGAAAAACCGGTCGAAGCGCGCGAGCTGATAAATGGCGCCGCTGGTAAGCGAGAGAGAAGCGTGAAATCATTTAAGAACTACTTCGCTTTAAAACCGCAACGGACACTCCAACGTTTGTCTTCGTCTCTTTGCCTCGAGTGAACTGCAAAATTCGTTGCCACGCGTCGGAGAAGCGAGACGACATTTTTTAATCGATACCCTGACACCCCGAAGACTAGAGCCGCGTCGAGCGACTACGTGTTCTCCCATCCTGGCGAAAGTTTGCCATTTCCTCAGTCCAAAGGACACAGAGACGCGAAACGACGAGAATAAACGAAGCGAAACGACGGAAATCGGGTCGAACGACTGGACAAAACGATTCTCTGCAGGCATACCGGAACAGATCGAGTTTTATGTTTCGTTCGGGGCAAACGTAAGAACGGGGAATAAATTTTCCGTTGGACTATTACGCTTTTTCCGCGAGATTCCGGCCATACGCGCGCGGAAAACGCCGAGCGGAACGGCCGCACGGTAAATTTCAACGCGTCCACGTCCGAGTTATAACTTTTTCCTTGCGATGCAAAAACAGGCAAAGAAAGGTCTGGTTGGAAACACTCGTATCTCGCGCGCTAATGTTTGCTAACGAAATTTGCGAGCTGCGCCAGGACAGGTAGCTCGGTTACGGACGGTCGTGACGCGATTCGCGCGAGGTTCCGCGTGAGAAGAATGCGTCCGTAAACGATGCAAATTAATGGCCTGTCGACGAAGGAAAATGGCGCGCGGGTCTGGTTGATTAAATCGACTCGGCAGCCACACCCGTGAAATTCTTCTTATACCCGAATGCCGCGAATTTCTATCGTCCCGCCTGCTGTCTCTGGGTGGGAATTTGCCCAGAATTCATTTAAATCGTAAAATAATTCACGCGACCCGTACGCTGTATGCTTCATCGAATAACGATACAACGAGAACGTACATAAATAAACGAGGGGAGAAAGAAACGAGCAATCTGCGAACACAAACAGGCAAACGCGATACGCGAACGAACGAAGTGGAATTTGCGCAAACGGTAATTTTTATAATCCAGAATCAACGATATCGCGAATTTTCGAATGGTCATCCTTTGAGGAGAATCCTTTTGCGAAACGCAATTTTTGTCTCACGCACTAATTGGTTGACGAGAAAACCGGGTAATCCTGTTTCATCGGTTACCTTAATTCCGAGTAATTTGCCGCGCTATCTTCTCTTGATATCGCGGAAAAACCAATACGGGAATATTCGTGGAAATTAGTAGAAGTTTCCATACGCTGTTGGAAACCGATACTTCTCGCGCAAATCGGGATCGCGTCGCCGTAGCTGGTTGGACGATATCGCGATTCCGCTGGTCGAGAATGAATTCGAGGTTTACGCCGTCCGTTTCGGTGACGGCTTTTCGAGAAAGCCGGCCACGCAGTTCCATGACAAATTCGATTTCGTATCGAGCGAGATCCGACTTCGTTTGTGCGTGCACCGACGTCAAATCCAAATCGCGCTGGATGACGACTGGAAAAGCGAGAGGGAAAAAAGGAGAAAAATAAAGAGAGACGGTCGGAACTAGGACAGCCAGGTGGGCCGCATTTTCCCGCGAGCCGAATTTACGGGTTTCGTCTTTGTCGAAAGCGCAATCGCTCGATTAGATTGCCTTAAACTATTTTCCAGCGAAATATTTTACGTCCACCCCTTCCGCGTCTGGCCCCTTTATTTCTGCACCGAAAGCCCATAGTCGGTAGAATTTCGCGAATGCAATTTTCGAGGGATTACGCTCGACGTACGGACAGAGATGTTAACGAGAGGGATAGAAACGTGGCGCGTTTGGCGAGCTCGAAAAAATTCTCGTCTCGCCGCGAAATCAATTCCGACCGACTGGTCGCGCCGCGACGCTTGTCCCGCGTGATCCCGAGATCCTCGAATGGTGTAAGAAATTTCGTCGCGATAGTAGGAATATGCGTGAATTTAGAAGAGGGTGAGAAAACGACGACCAATAACGAGTTTCGCTTGACCATTAATGTTTCAGTCACTGGGACGGCCGCGGAAGCCACACGCGAGACAGAGGAGTCACCGTGGAGTGCCTACGACGCGAGAAGGAGCGGTCGAACGTTTGCCTGGTCCTCCGGTACGGAACGTACCACGGGGGAGACGAAATCTATCGGAAAGTTTCGCCAGACAACTTCCTGGCACGCGGACAGCTCGAGCTCCGGGGAACGAGTCACGCCGGAATTGCTAAAGCCGACCAGCGAGAGCCCGGACGAGGACGAAGAGGAGGAGGAGGAAAAGAAGACCGAAATGCACGGGAATGTCGAGGCGACGTTTGGAATGAGGGAGAACGAGACGGAAAGAGGGAAAATCTCGAGTCAAAAGCCGAGCGTGTCTTCGAGAAGTACAGCCGACGCGAGGCAGAAGATAAATTTATCCGCCTCGCAGACGTTTATCCAATCAACGCTGAAACGATCATCGAGCTTCGACGAGCACGTTCTTCCCACGAAAAGTTTTGACAACGTAAGTCGCCTATCGGTTACCAACCACCGTTAACCTATGTTTCCAGTTCTCACGAGCAAACGAACAGAGACCCCGGGACCTAAGGGTAGAGTATACTCGGCGATACGTTCCAGCGCAATAATAATCGCGATATATTTTCCGCGTGGCCAGTAATTCGCTCGCGGGTCGATAACTATAATTTCACGCTATCGCGATAGCCAAGTTACCCAAAGCGTCGCCGGGCAGCTATATAATTAACGACCTGACACTGAGGATTAGAGGATTATTGCTTATCGATCGTGTAAATTTTCGATCGTGGCTAGACTTAAACCGACGCTGGCTTCGCAACGAAGCCATACCTTGTTACGATTCACGGGGATAAGTCTAGCGCGCGTCTCGTCTAAGCTATCGCGTAACTTTGAAATATGTGCAGATAGCGGCGACGCAAGGGTCAAAGTTGGCGGCCGAGTCTCGGAAAAATCGCAAAAGCACCGCCACGACGCCTACCCCATCGATGGTGAGCGAGGTCATACGTCGCCAAATGAGGCACGTACCAGACGTGTGCGAGAAATTCAACGTCGGCGACGAAACTAAACAGGAATTTTACAGTCCAAACTACCCGGACCACTATCCGAATCTCACCGAGTGCATCAGGGTTCTCGAAGGTGAGTTTAAGATTTTCGTCTAATTTTTCTTCTCTCGATTTCTTTCTTGCGTGTCGTCGTCGTCGTCGTTGTCGTGGTTGCCGTTAGTCGGTCGAAAGGTATGGCGGGAACGCAACGCGAAAGTAAATCTATTCTTGGCACAGATATCCCGATGTCGTTCCATATTCATCGATGCAAGAAGTGCCAGGAACGTGGTATATTACATCAAACAGAGTAAATTTATTATAGAAGCGAATCTCCACTTATCCCGGTAACTCGAGGAATTAACTCGACGCTAACTGTACGCGTCGGGGTTGGAGCTTGATATTCCACTCGTTTCATATGTATAAGTTCGTCGTAGCCTGCCGGCTGCAGCACGGAGCAAACTTCGAAAAGGGGCGACCAACACGCGCGACGCCGTGATTGATACACCCTGGTGGTTTCGTTCGTCCGACGAGGAGATCCTGTCCGATGCCGCCAGTAAATTTCCCTCCGCTCGTCGATACAATGCATTCGTGCACGTCGACGGATCGAAAGAAACGCATCAATTTTTCCACCCCCGCCCCGTCGCTCGTTCCGAACGTCGAATAAAGAGTGGCGAGCATCGAATTTATAATAAACGAGCGCGGGAAATTAATAGCCGGGACCCACCTCGCGGTGCATCGTCGCGAACGATTGCTCGTAAGGGAAACGCATTACGATTCGCGACTAGCACGAACAACCGATACCACTCTTGCTCCGAGTCCCGACCACGCTTCGTCCTTCTTCCACCCCCTTTCTGCCGATCCGGCAAGAGTAATTGCGTAAAACGATCTGGCGAATGCGGGTGGGAATGATAAATGGTGCCATGGGGTCGGAGTTTTGATAACGAATCGATAAATCTTGGATATCCGAACCTCGGGACAACGTACACATTTCCCTGGTATCGAAACGGCCGTGTAAAATCTCGGTTCCTCAAACCTCGTCGGCCTACTCGCCGTCTAGCCAACGTCGAGTCGCGATCGCTTCAAGTCGAGTCAAGTCGAGTCGCGGTCGCTTCGAGTCAAGTCGAGTCGAGTCGCAATCGCTTCGAATCGCGGTCGCTTCGAGTCGAATCGAGTCGAGTCGAGTCGTGATCGCTTCGAGTCGAGTCGCGGTCGCTTCGAGTCGAGTCGCGGTCGCTTCAAGTCGAGTCGAGTCGAGTCGCAATCGCTTCGAGTCAAGTCGAGTCGAATCGGATTGAGTCCCGTCGAGTTGCATCGCGTCGAGTCGAGTCGAGTCGAGTCGAGTCGTGTCGCGTCGCGTCGCGTCTGGAGATCCTGGCAGAACTCCCCGGTCCACGAATTACGCACGGTTAAAGTTGCGTTTATGGTTACATTCGCGCAGAGTATACGGAACGAGACAGTCGTAAACCCTTGCGTTCTTCCGCCACACACGGTTGGCGGAGAAAGAGGCGGTAAAAGACGCGCGTGGTTCCTTTTAGCCGGATCCCGAACGCCTCGAAACGCGTCGGATCGGGCAAACGAGGGCAGCTGGGTCGTGTTCGAAATTGAGTCAGGGTCGACAGGCCTCGGACCGTGTACACCGAATCCTCTTCTCACGTACCAAAATAGTATCCACGGCGATCGCTGGTCCTCGGCCGAGTTTTGGAAACGATAGGTCGAACCGTAGTCGCGTATGTTTTCTCTATCTATAGAATCGTAAAACTCGCGCTGGGAAAAGGAAAATAAATATCGGGGAGGGCAGTCGTCGTAGATCAGTCGCTGGTGAATACGTCGCTCCGCGGGTCGCGGAATAAATTCAGATGTAACCACTTGTAAATCACGCATAGCCGGATATCGATAGCAACCCCAGTGCCTTATTTCCTTTCTGGGCGTACACCCCGGGCTAAGGTATTGGCTCGGATTTACATGGGGCGTTTCGTCGTGGATTACGGAGCCGGGGCTCGTACCGAGTTTAAACCGTTACAACGTGCGATGAATACGTTTAAGAATGTATTTTCACTGATAATATTCTTTCCATGGCTCATCCTGGTCGACTGATAAGCGCGAGGAGCTGCAATTGCCTGCCGACTGATAAGAAAGCGCGTTCTTCGCTCGAAATCGACCGCTTAGCTCTACGACCGTGAAAACTAGGTATATCGCAACCAGTGAAAGGAAACGAGCTTTAATTCCAACGTTATCTTCAACGAAGTTTCACGATGATATCCTTTGGGTAATACTCGAGTACACGAAGGAAATGCGTCTAGCGCGTGGAACGATTAGAAAATTCGCGGTATTGGATATAAAATCGTTGAAAATGGGAAAAGGTCGGGGGAGATGATCGAGAGGAGGATGAGACATGGCTGGCTGTTCCCGTTGAGTGACTAACAACGGACTATAACTAGCGTCATTAAACGGACCAGTCTGTGGGTGCGTCGCAGCCGCCATTACATTGATCGAAGTGATTACGACATATTAAGCACCCTATGTAAATTACGATACCCAATTATCCCAACATCGGCGTGCTGCTGGCCACGATTAAGGAAGTTTCCACGCGAATCCACGCAATTCCGTATACGTCAAACTGTTTCGAATTGCATAAATTGGCGGACGTTAAGCAGCCGGGCGGCCATTGTAAATTTCGCGACGGCACACTTCGCTGCCCCCCGTCGCGCCGAAATTCAAGAGCGCAATCGTTGTTACCCTCGAGTACCGTTCTTAGTTTGCCGTCGCCGTGCCGTTCTCGCGATTTCTTACGTGCCGGGGCGAACTCGTTAAACTCGAGGAAAGCCTAGTTCTCGACACGCGGGTGAATCGTCGAAACTTTTCAAGCATCATCGGGGGACAAAGGTCAATGTTCCAATCGCGTTTCGGCCAGTATGTCCCGAGGAACGGCGAAAGAGCAGGCTCGATCAAAGTTTAATTGGAACAATTCGAACTTCTCCTCTGTCGCGACGCGCAAAGACGAAATCGCTCAAAGCCGGGGGTGGCATCTATCTGTGCCGTGTTCGACTGCAATTGCCGGCGAATCGATGAACGATCAAGCCAAAAGACAGCTTGATTCCGTGCTCGATATAGCACAGATAACATCCAGTTCGGATCGCGATTGGTATCCCCTACGTATTCGTGATGCAGTTTCAAATTTATACGGATTTCGGTGTCGGAAAACACATGGCACGCGCGGGCTAATGCAACGTCGATGCCCACCGCCATTGCGCAAGCGATGCGTCGAATCCGTCAACGTTATACGGAATATTTACCCCGGTTATCTGTCGCGTAATAATCGACGAATCTCCGAATGAACCGTCAAAGATAGAAATTTGGAAGGGGAAAAGCGAAAGCCGAGTCGAGTAAAATTATTAATCGCGTAGGTCATGGCTGAACGTCGCATCCAACGAGATAACGTTCTTGCGACTTTCCGTGAAAGGTCGCTCGGCTGTAAACCGCAGATTCCGTCGATTCACGGTGTAAACTGGAGCAAAAATCGAGCGAATGGATCGACACCGATATATAACGCGGACACGGCTCGCTCGCCTTCCTTTTCAGCTCTTTCTTTTCTTCTCTCCTGATCGGGGCGCGCACGCAAGCGGGCCAAGTAGCCCTTCCGGTGAACCCGGCACATCGGAAGGAGGTCCTAATTGCGCGGATGGAACCTTTTTAATTGCTCGTTCGTGAGCATGATAACGCGGTTACACCGGTATCATTATGAAATGTGGGACAGTTTTAAGCAGTTGAAGCCACTCGGCCACGTTAATGAGACCACAGTCGGTTGGAGACCGAATAAGCATTCGCCGGATGAAACGCGATCGAACCTCTTCCGTTTCGTGGGATAACGAAGAAACGGAACTCGAGGAACAGCAGTTCGTTAAACGGGTACGCTTCGTCTCTCGCTCGAGGAACCCACCCGAGGCCAGACCAAACCGCGTAACTTCTTTACTAATTACTCCGAATAATCCCCCTCGCGGTCTTTCGCTTCGCCATCGTCGACGACACGGCTGACGAATTATCAACGCTATCCCTGACATTGGCCTCGAAACGAGCTCCACGAACGTATGACGTTTATCGATCCCGCTAATAGACACGGCGAGTTCGAGAACCAATCCTGAAGGGACCAATAACGGGGACACGTCGAACGACGAGCGGAATAAGCCGAAATGGGTGGAAACGAGCAAAGTCTCGCGAGATACAGAGAGAGAGAGAGAGAAGAGGTCGGGGACAGACTCGATCTAGAGATTCCACAGTGACGCGAGATCTGACCCAGTCATGCGTTGGCGAGATTTTTCGCAGACAACGTCGTCCCTTGGTATTTCTCTGCCAGTTGCTCCTCGCTGTCTCGTTACCCGCAACCACCGGTCCACCGCCAGCGCAGGCGGCCGCAATTTAAAACGTGTCGTCGAGCGTCGGCTTTCTTACCTCTGCCAAGTTTCGCGTTTCGCGCTACGGGACGAAGACACGCGATAAAAAGTTTTCCCACTCCGCCTGTAACACGGGCGGACAAGTTGGTCCGTTTTCTTCGCCCCTTATTTTTCCCCACTGTCGTCGTTCCCTCCGCGTCGGACGCGATCGGTATCGCGCTAGACGTTGGCGGCCAAAAATACAGGCGAGCCCCGATGCGACGGCAAGGTTAATACTTTCGATGTTCGGGAGCCAGCCGACCGGTTGTGCAAGTTGAAAGACGCTGGAAAAAGTAGCAACCTAATAGAACCCGGGAGAAAAGACTCCCCTCTGCTAAGACTGCTGGAGATAGGAGGAAGTCGTGGCTAAGTTCCAAAGTGGACGAGCAAATCAAGTTATCAACCACTCAGGAGGTAAGGGGCCATCAAAGAACCGTTTAATGCGATCCCACGTAAATCAAGGGCGACCGCCCCTCTGCCGTCTCCGTGTTTCGTGGAACATCGAAATACTCTAAGGCCGAGAGTCTGTGCAAGGGAAGCCATTAATTGCGGCAAGACACTGCGCTTGTCCTTGAACCAAAATGGCGTTAAAGACCACCCACAACGTGCCTTCCCATCGATCAACTTTGCCCGAGAAACTTCTGCCGATTACACCCCAGTTGCAGCC